CTTTCTAACCCGCTTCTTTTTTTTTAACTTTATCTTTCTTTTCTACTCCTTCTCCTTTTCTTACATTGTCTTTCTTTTCTCCTCTTCAATCTTTTCTCACTGCCTTTCTCTTCCTCTTCGTCCCCGCTTTCACACATTGCCTTTCTTTTTCTCCATTCTTTTATCATTCTCTCTTTTTTCTTTCTTCTTCTCCTCCTGCTCCTCCTCCTCCTTTCTTTCTCACTTTGACTTTCTTTTTCTCCTCTCCAGTCTTTTCTCGCTGTCTTCGTCTTTCTCCTCCTCCCTCCTTTAGCACTTTGTCTTTCTCCTCCTCTTTCACTCTTCACAATCTCTTTCTAACCCGCTTTCTTTTTTTCACTTTATCTTTCTTTCTACCCCTTCTTCCTTTCTCACATTGTCTTTCTTTTCTCCTCTTCAATCTTTTCTCACTGCCTTTCTCTTCCTCTTCGTCCCCGCTTTCACACATTGCCTTTCTTTTTCTTCTTTTCGTTCTTTCACACTGTCTTCCTTTTTCGCCATTATTTTATCATTCTGTCTTTTTTCTTTCTCCTCCTCCTCCTCCTTTCTTTCTCACTTTGTCTCTCTTTTTCTCCTCTCCAGTCTCTTCTCACTGTCTTAGTCTTTCTCCTCCTCCCTTCTTTATCACTTTGCCTTTGTCTTTCTCCCCTGTTCTCCTTTCTCACATTGTCCTTTTCTCCTTCTCTTTATTCTTTCTCATTTTGTTATTCCTTTTCACCACACCCTCTCTTTCTCTCTTTGTCTTTCTTTCCCACGTCCTTTCTCGCGTTATCTTTCTTTATCTCCTCTGTCCATTCTCACGTTGTCTTTTCTCCACATTCTTTTCTCTCTCTCTGTCTTACTCTTTCTTCACCTTTGTTTCTCACCGTGTTTTTCTCTTTCTTTCTTTTTCTTTTTATAGTAATTCTCTCTCTATACTTCTTTTCGTTTTTTTCTTCTCCCTTATCATTCTTCCTCCTTTCATTTTCTTTCTTTATTCCTTAGTTTATGCAATCATTTTTCTTCTCTTTTCTTCATTCCTACATTATTTCACGCTTCTTGTATTTTTCTTCTTCTTCCTTCATTCATTTCTTCTTCTTCTTCTTCTTCTTCTTCTTCTTCTTCTTCTTCTTTCTTACCTTCTCAATATCTCTTTTTATTCTCAAAGATCTTCTTCTTCTTCTTCTTCTTCTTCTTTTCTATCGACTTTTTGTTATTCAATCCACGTCCTGTTGAATACCCAACCAATTCGACCTAACAATTTGATTCTTGGCAAGGAATCGCTACACTTAAAAAAAAATTCTAAACAAAATAAAGAACACTATAAATAAATAAACAGAATATCAAAGCAATGTCCGGGCAGAAACAAAAATTAACAGGAGAATAATATATATATATATATATATATATATATATATATATATATATATATATATATATATATATATATATATAGGGGTTTTTTTTAAATTTTTCTTGGGTTGGTCATTAAGATATTTTTGTAAATAAAATTATTCAATTACTACGCGTGCCTGGACAAACAAGCGGATCACATTGAAATAGATACATATATATAGAGATAAAAAACGAGGCATAGCTAAGTTTGACACAAGGCCATAAAATTTAAGTACTTCATAAGGATTTAGTATATTACAAATTGCAGTGTGAAAATTCTCCTTTCACAGACCGCGTTCCGACAAAACATGTCTATGGTTAAATCACGCTGACAGAAAACGAGTCTCATTCAATCACCGAAGTTAAGCAGCGTTGAACTCGGTCAGTGTTTGTATGGGGCCCCGCAGGGTACTGTAAACTACCTCCGACGATCTGAAATATGCTTTTGGCTTGAAATAAGCCAATGATGTAAACGCGTCTCCAAAAAACTACATCCGCGTCCTGGATAAGACGATAAAATACATCCGCGTCCTGGATAAGACGATAAACTACATCCGCGTCCTGGATAAGACGATAAACTACATCTGCGTCCTGGATAAGACGATAAACTACATCCGCGTCCAGGGTAAGACGATAAACTACGTCCAACAGCAAGGCCTCTGATCAGGAGGTTTTTGAGCAGCGTGGAACCACCACTTAATTATTGGTGTTCCCAGATCCACCCTGGCCCGGGGTGGTAGCACCTTTTAGGGTGCCAATTATAGGCAAAACGCTTCCTCCCCCCAAAAAAAAATTGTGGTCAAATCATTGTGAAAGTGTAAAAATAGGTTTTAAGACCAGCAATACAGTTTTGAAGAAAAAAAATTACGAGCAATAAAAATCTCGTCGGCTTTAAAAGAAACCATTGAGGTGTTGATATGCCGTAAAACAAAACTATTCAAACCAAGCCAAACCTTCAGGATATAGAGGATTATAGCTCTCCATAACTTACTAATTTCTCTAGGCTAGTGGAGGGCAACATATTTGAGAGGACGTTTCAAAACCGGCTAAATTACTTGCTCCATCCGTTTGGTCACATTTTTGTGTTTGGTGATTTTAACGCCCATCACACCTTGTGGCTTAAGAATGCTACTACTGACCACGCAGGCATTCAAACGCTCAATTTTTCAATCTCCCATTCCCTCACACAGATAGTTAACTTCCCCACTCGTTTTGCCTTCAACCGGGAAGGTAAAGCCTCTCTTCTCGACCTGTGTTTTATCTCCATCCCCGAGTCCTGCAGCGCCTCGCAACTCTGCCCTCTTGGTAACTCTGATCATGTGGTAGTATCTGTTAACATCTCCTTCAACTCCACCCCCTATAAAGAACCTTCTACCACTAGAACTTCGTTCTACTATCAACGAGCTGACTGGGACGCGTTCCGTGATTTCCTCCGCGATGTCCCCTGGGATGTAGTCTTTACGCTCCCCGTCCAAGAATGTGCTTCTGAGGTCTCTTCCTGGGTTAAAGCTGGAATCGACGCTTTCATCCCATCAAGGAAATATAGGGTCAAGTCGCGCTCCTCCACCTGGTTCTCCGCTGCTTGCTCAGCCGCCATCGCCCATAGGTCCGTCCACAAGTGTACCCACAAGAATTCTTTGAAACTTCAAAACTAGCAGCAATTTTTTGGGGACTGGAGCCTATTATTTCTTTTTTGTCTTGCTCAATTCACGAGAAATTTATATCTCTTTATTCTTCTTCAGTTCCATTGCTTAAGTTCTTATGAACATTTTCAAAATTTCTCTTTACAGAAGAAGTCCTACTAACGATTGTTTCGGAACAGAAAATGCATAAGGCTTTATTGTCTTTTTTTTTAATCATACTAAATGTTTCAGTCCACTATTCTTTAAGTTTTCTAATATCCTCTTCATTTGAATGACATCATTTTTTAGCTGATGATCGTGACATTCTGCCTAATCTGTAAAGGACAGAAAATAAAAATGCATGAGATAATGATAGACATGAAAGAGGAGAAAGAATAAATATAAGTCGAAAAGGGAATCTAATAAATAATTTCCGCGTGCCAGAAACAAGTCATCGGCGTGACATATTTGGCACGTGTGCCAAGGGTTGCCCACACCCGCTCTAGGACATATTTGTCATCTTTCCACTCCCTTTCTCTGTTCTAACATCCATTTGCACTAAATTCTTAGGTTGGATTTTCGATGTTTCTCTCTAGCTTTCAGTGTGTCCTGTGAGTATCAAATTCTCCAAGCCTTCTTTCCTTATTACGTATCTAAAAAAAAATCAACTGTCTCTTTTTTATTGAACTTTCCATTAAAACTTCCATACTGGTCATCTGAACCGTCCATGATATTCTCAGCATCCTGCTGTAAAACCACATTTTTGTTGTCTCATGTGTTCTCTTAATCTATGAAGCAATTGTCTAGCATTGACAGCTATATAGGAAGATTGATATTACATAACAGTTTAGCACTTCTTTAATTAATTCTAATGAAAATTCGCTGTTTCTTAATAATCTCTGTATCTCTTAATCTCATATTTTTTAATATCTATATTTTGCTCTTTCAATGCTACTTCGGATTTCAGTGTCACATTTTACGTCTTCTGTTAAAACACTAAATCTGGAAAAACAAACTAGCGACATTCATCTATGGCCGATCGGACACAGAACTTTCAACAGTCGCGATGAAGGGATGTTCCCTCGGGGAGGCCACGTACATTGAGCACCTTCTGGGAGTTAAATTCAGACAAAGGGCCGAAGTGGAATACTTACATACGATCCATCGTTAATGGTGCTGGAAAAAAATGGCCGGTTCTCTTTACCTGGGACTTCCAGATATTCTCTACTTTTACAAGAGCAAAACCAGGCCCAAAATATAGCCTTGTTGCTATATATTGGAAGCAGCTGCCCACTCTTCGCATTCTATTCTCCATAGTATCCTAAAAGCGCCGACGTGTCTTTATGAGTGACGGAATCTTTTCCACCTAACAACCCTTTTATCGCAGGTAAAAATTCGCAAGCCTCTCGCTGTCCTATCTGTTCAGACGAACTACATTCCTAATTTCTACCGATCCTGGCCTATGTCACGCCATGATACGGAATTACTAGCGAAGCACATCCATTACTGTTGTGAGACCGTAGCATATCTACAACATGGACTCTTCCAGGACTATATAAAGTATGCGATATAATACTCTAAGAGAAGAGGAAAAGAAGAGAGAGAGAGAGAGAGAGAGAGAGAGAGAGAGAGAGTATTCTAATACCGTAGTATCAGCCGCGTACGACTACCAATATTGGACACTAGCACATAGTAAGCTCCGCTTACACTTACACTATCTTTGTAACCTTTTTGTTTAATCTAATCCGTGTTCCATGTTTTCCTTCTGTGGTCCCAACTTTGAGTCCACTTCAGTGGCGACGGAGAATTCGAGAAACGCATTCACGTCGAAAACCTCAATACCATACCAGTTCCACATCAGTGGCGACAAAGAATTCGAGAAACGCATTCACGCCGAAAACCGCAATACCTTACCAGTTCCACATCAGTGGCGACGAAGAATTCGAGAGACGCATTCACGTCGAAAACCTCAATACCTTACCAGTC